GAGATAAAACAGACGTTTTACATGGTGAAATGTGACTGATGGAAACTTAGGAGCTTAATCCCACACCAGTTTGACCAGGAATAACGTCGGGTGACCAGTCTGACTTTTTTTTTTCACATTGGACTCCACTAGAAGAAATCCCATCATACTGCTGCTTAAATGTTCACTACGTCAGAACTTATTCAGTAAATGTGTTTCCATCTCTGCTTTACTGCATTAACTCTTACAGGATGGGGGAAACTGGTCTTGGTGGAGGTTTGCACTCTCCGAGTGCTTCTAGTTATTTACACGTCATTGTTTTAATTTCCTGTCAGGAGTTATTTGCAAATGTTACTTTTTTAAATTGATAAGGCTCAAAATGAAATGTAAACAATTAAACCAAAATCCAGAAATAATCTTTGTTGTGTTTGTTTGTTTTTTTCAGGCTTTAAGTGGCCTGTCTCCCTGGTCATCGTCACTGAGCTGTTGGGGACAGGGAGGGATGGACGAGTCCATAAGTACAGTAAAATCAGTCAAACCGTTTCAGTCGCGGGGAGCCAAGGCTTTGTCGTCTCAGAAGTCCAACAAAGAGGCCTCGGTTCAGAGGGACGGGGTCAAGTCCACGCTGAGGAGCAAAGAAAACCTCACCGCTGCCAGGGATGAGCGCACCGCCGGCGGCCCGGTGAGCCGCATGGTCCCAGACGACAAGAAAAGAGGACGGCCCAACAGGGTGACCAGACTGACCGGGAGGACCGGTTCTGGAGAGCGCGGCAAAGCCAAGGGGGCCAACCCTCCTCAGCCGGGGTCTTCAGAGTCCAGGACCCCGGTCCCTGCAGACGGCTGCGGCTCGGCGGCTAAACGAGACACCGTCTCGCCGGTAAAACCCGCCACGCCTGAGKGGCGCCTCGCGGAGCAGGACAAGACGTCCACCGGAGCTTCGATGAAGGACAAGTCTCACGGTGAGACGAGACGCTTTGAGACGAGCGTCAGCGCTTCTGTCGTTAGCCTGAGGGACGTTTTCTGACTCTTTGTTTGTTTACAGTTCTGAAAGCTGCAGCTCCGATGCATCAGCACAGCAGAGAGGGAGCCGAGGACAGACCCCCCACAGAGGAGGGACGCCTCACGGAGCAGCAGCTGGGCCTCCGGCAGGTGGAGGAGCGCCTCTACAGAGACCACATCCAGAGGCTGATAAAGGTACGACTCCTCCTTTTTACAAAAAAAACATCTGTGTGTGTTCTTTCTTTTGTTTTTCCTTTTCAAAATAAAACATAAATCTAGTGTTTTTATAGTTCTATTAAAACTAAAATAGAAAAACGCAAAATTGAAAAAGGCCAGTTTTTAAATGTTTTAAAGCAAAGACCAACTTATATTTTGTACAACATATGTTACAAGTCATGTTTCTATCAGTGATTTTTATGCGCGTTTTGAAGCATCGCATTATGGAAACAGCAAAATTAGCAAAAACTCCCTCAATTTCGCGAAAAAGGTTTTACGCTCGCTTGATGTTTTATTTGATTTTATATAAAAGAGAGTTAAAACACAAAATTCACATTAAAATTTAATTGAAACCCAGCTACTTTCTTAGCACTTCAGAAACCAACTGTCTAAAAGAACTCGATCCATCCTGAGTCATTTTACTGTTAATAATTTACTTTAATATTCTGCAGAATCAGATTTGAGTTTTATCATTACAAAAACGTTGGAATCAGTTTATATTTTTAGCAGCCTTCCACTTCTGGTATCACTACATATTAAAATACAAACTACATTTTTGGATTTAAATAGCTAAAGCAAACATCAAAAGCTGTGTTTTTATTTAGTTTGACTTTACATTTTTACATTTAGGTTTTGAAATCAGAAAAAAAAACACGATTTAAATTTTATTTTGTAACGGAAATACAAAAGAACCCTACACAAATTTAGAAACAAATTTAGTTTTATCTGTTAACACTATGACGT